AGTATAATTTAGTTTTCTGTGGTGAGTTCTAGGATAGCTGCAGCAGTTTCAGTAATCTCTTGATAATTTTTTTCTTGACTTTTGGGCCTGACTGGAATAATTGTTCTGGGAAAAATCTGCCATAGCCTGAGATGGCTTTGCCCTCTTCTGTATTGCCTGTCTTCTCACTCTTTTCTCATTCCTACCATAAAGGGCTGCCAGTGTTACTTGTATAGGTTTCAAAATTTCTTTAATTAGGCGTATATTCTTCATAGTTCTTTTCTAGAGTAATTCTTACTGCTACCATATACCTGCTCTGTATGGTAATGTGAATTGGGAGGGGCCAAGGGCCAGCCTGTGGTCATTGTTACTCTGGCAGAGAGCTCAGGTACCAGGGAATCCCTGCCTCCTCTGTCCTCCTGGGTTTCACTTTTACTTCACAAGATCCCTTGGTACTCTGTTGACACTAACAGCTGAGACTGTGTCTGATGTGTGTGGTATGGTTATGGCGTATGCTTTGCTTACTTTCAGAGGAGTATCAAGAGGAGCTTGTAAAGTTTTCAAAAAACCAACACCCTTCCAAAGTAGGCTGCAGTATCCTGGCTCCAACATACATAATTTTCCTTCTCCTTTCCTCTCTTCTTCTCTCCTCTTTTCTCTTCTTGTGTTCTCCCCATTTCTTCCCTTTCCCCTCCCCTCCCCTCCCCTCCCTTCCCTTCCCCTTCCTTCTCTTTCTTTCACTCCCCTCCCATTCCTCTCCCTTCCCTTCCCCCTTTCCTTCCCATCCTCCATTTTCCCTCCTTTTGTCCCCTACTCCCTTCCCTTCTTCTCTTCCTCCTCCCCCACTCCCTATTCCTATTTTTCCCTTCCCTCTACCCAACCTTTTCTTCTACCTCCTTCCCTTTCTTCCCCTCCCTGTACCTTCTCCTCCTCTTCCTTTCCCATCCCTTCCAATGCTTATAGGTACTTCTGTCACTAAGCTGCAATTTTTCAGGATTAATTTTTGTAGAGAAATCCATTAGTGGACAGAATTTATCATTTTGATAGGCACAAAGTGAGTTGTACCTACACTGAAGTTTAAACAAATAATTAATTCCAAGTAGGTAAACTTTAATATTTTGTTACATTGCCTTTTGATATTTAAATTTTCATTCTAGTAGCTGTTGAAACAAATGTGCTTCTAGGTACTTGATTTATCCTCGTGTAATGCTTTTGTTTTGGGAATTCTCCTTGCCTTTTGTTTTGCTTTGTGTCTTTCACAGCTCATATCTGTATCTTTGACCTTGAGAAACTGAAAATGTCTTACACTTTAGAAGTTTTTCACTTTTTTAGCAAAAATATTTTTACAAAATTCTTTCGCCTGTGTTAGTCATACTCATTTTCCAACTGATGCAGTGTGGAGGAAATTATAAGATTGAGTGTAAGGAGAGAGGTTGAATACGTTAGAAATGATAACAAACCTCAACCAGCTTTTGTTTTAGGGATCTGTCTTCTAAAAGACAGCTATCTATGAGATAAGTTTTAAAAATAACCATAATCCTCTTAATTCTTTGAAAATATTTCTTAATTTTCATTTTTATAATAGAATGAATTTCAGAGTTTTGCTACTGAGAAGTTTATCCAAGAATTTCCATAAGATCCTCACATGGTTAGGTATTTTTGATGAATTATACTTAAAAAAACACCTAATATTCTGTTCTGCTCCTGCATCAGATCTCTTCAATTCCTAACTTTTACAGCTTGAAAAACATTGGTGTTTGTTTTCCTTTCTCCAGTTCAAATTATGCTGTGAAAATAGCTGATAGTATCCAATGACTTATTGTTGTGGAGGGATCTGCCACTTTTAAATCACCAATATTTGGTAGTTTAATGGAAATTGTGTAAGTGCTTTCATCTTGAGCTAGGTAGACTGCTTTGGAAATATGTAGGTGCTGGATGTACCATATCATACTTCGTATTATGTTTAGGTTTTTTTTTTTTTTATTAGTTACTGGGATTTAACTTGTGTCATTACAATTTCTTTTAAATTCTGTGTTATGTCCAAGACTATATCCTGCTAAGTGCCTTCTGTTGACTACTTTTCCACAACCTAGACAGGATTCTGGAGTGTTTAACAAAAAAGAAGTTAAAGATCACCTACCTTGATTTTGTAGATTGTATCTGAGGGTATTGAAAAGCTAAATGATGTAGCCAGGGATGTACAGTTTATAAGGAATGATCCTTCCTAGAACCAAGATTTTCTGACTCCAATTCTAATTCTTCTTTTTTACCAGTTAATATTCTTAATGATGAGTGGCAGTGTAGTTTTTAAAATCTGTTCCTCTTCTAAAAATCTGTTTTCATTTGAACAACTGAGTGCTCCTTTGCTGCTTATATTTTCCTCCAACACATAAACATTAGAAAAAGAAGAAAAAGAAGAGTATTTAAATTCCTTCTAATTTCATGCTCCATGTTAGTCTGCTCAGGCTGTTACAACATACCATATACTGGATGTCTTAAACAGTAAAACTTAGTTTTCTAACATATCTAGAAGATGGCCAGTCAGAAGTCAAGGCGTAGAAGCATTTGTTTTCTGCTGAGGGCTGTCTTTCTGACTTTCAGATGGCTGCCTTCTTCCAGGTCTGCACATAGTAGAAGAAACTTAGAGAACCATGGTCCTATTGGATTAGGACTTCACCCTTACAATGTTTCTTTAACCTCTAAAGATCCTAATGCCAGACAGAATCACAGTAGAGGGTTAAGGCTTCAACATATGCTTTTGGGAGAGACATAATTCAATCCATAGTATGCTCTACCTGTTACCATCCATGGTGTAAGTAGCATTCCTCATAGCGGCTGACATACCTGCCTCATTGTCCTTAATGTGGTTAGACTTCAGGATCAATGCATGACTGATATGAGATGATGCAAGCACAGTTTATTCTGCTACAAAGCAAACACAGCTTTATATGATTGCTTTGGCATCAGAATTCCTGATTTTAAATCTTGACTCTGCTGATTAGTACCTGTGAACCTGGATATATTTGTGTCTCAGTGTCTCATTTGTGAAGTGGACAGAATTCTCTCACAGTAGCTGACATCTAAGATTACATGAAGTAGGATCTGGTAAATGGAAAGTACTCAAGTTAGTGATAATGATTGTTATCATCATTATTTGCTACCCCTATTGAGTTTGGAGGGCCAGATGATTCTAGTTCATTTATTCCTTGTATTAGTCCTAAAGATTTCTCTGTCACTTAGGGCCTTGGTAAGCTTCAGTTAATTTTGTGTACTGTGTTGGTAGATGTATGATTACAGAACATTTTATATAGCCCTTTTATTCTTAAATAATTAAAGAGCAGAGAAATCAAATCAACCTATGATATTCTGGAATCAATGATTTTTTTTATAGTGAAGGAAATTGAGGGTCAGAAGGGTTAATAAATATTGTTAGGTGAAGATAGAATTCTACCAGATCTTTCTTGTATCTTGTGTTTTCATTACATGACGTTAACACGGTTTAACATTTCTAGATAATATCTAATAAGTGTAAAGTTTTCTAACATCTGGAGTATTTGTTTGTTTTTTGTCTTCTTGAGGCAGGGTCTCCCTATGCAGTTCAGGCTGGCCTTGCACTCACTTTGTAGCGCAGCCTGTGGTCTCGAACTCAATCCTCCTGCCTCTGCCTCTGAGTGCTGGGATTACAGGTGTGTGCCACCACACCTGGCTCATCTGGAGTATTTGTGAACAGTATTAGATCCGTGTTAGTTTGTGACCTAGGCCTAATAGACTTTAATTTTGTAAACCAAGAGGTTGATTACTGAAACTCTGTTACAAACCTTTTAAATATTTTTCTTGCTCCTAAAAATTCCAGAGGGACACAACAGTTACAATGCACAGGAAAACATCTAAAATATCCTCTAGTGAAGAATTTGCAATTGGATTTTTCTTACATACTTGTAAAACTAAGCAAGGAAAATATGAAACAATAGTAACAAAGCCCAACACAGATTAACTTCAGATAAATAATTACTTGGGAAGGGAGAAGTAATGATAGTCACCACATGGATTAGTCCTCACTACTGTTTATGTATCCGTTAATTATGTAAACACTAAATAAGAGACTAACCAAAATAGTAATTAAACAGGTAGAAAGATTGTGTGTTATTCCTAGGTGGAGGAAGTAGAGCTCAGTCCTTACATTTATATTTGAAAAATAATATATTTAAAACTTGAAATCAATAAGTAGCAATATAAGCATGATATTAGGAAGTAATGGAAATAAATTCTAAAACGATTCTATGAAAGAAATGAAAATGCTTCACTCTAGGAAAGGAATGCTTTGGGGAAAGAGGGGAAAGACTGGTTGTCTTTTTAAGTAAACTGTTTCGAATTATTTTATAATTCAAACCAAGTACATACATAATCCTAATAAAATGAAAGCTAACGTAAAGAAAAAACAAACTTTTGCCTAATGATTTTTTCTGGGGGAGGGTATGAGGAATGGAATTCCGAATCTTGTGCTTCCCAGACAGGCGCTGTGCCACTGAGCTATATCCCTGGCCATGATAAATATTTTGACTTTAACTTAGTCAATGTTTTTGTTTCAATGTCAAGATAAGCATTGATTTTCTTTAGAAGGTATCATACTTAATTAATTTGCCTAATATTAATTGAATGTCTGCAATGTGCTAGGCATAGCAGTGGATGTAAATGTAAATTAGACAGTAATCCTTGCTTCCAAGGAAGTTGTGATCCTGTCAGGAGATGGGATGTATGCAGATAAGCTACGTGGAGGTTAGTATAAAATACCTACGAGGAAAGCAAGCTTTCTTTCGGCAGCCCTTATGACTCTTGAGCTTTGCCTCAGCCTTATGTTTATAGTATAACATGTTTCCAGTGATCTTGGTCTTATTTGTGATTTGCAGAGATGGCTTCATTTAGGATTTTAATCTTTTTCCGGTCTTGGTGTTTTGATCCTTTTCTTATGGTTTATTTGATTAGCATTTTGTTTTGTGGATTTCAACCAAGAAAATACTTACCCAATTAGAGAAATTCAGTAGTTAAGAACAGAGCCTCTCATGAGTAATTCTACTTTTAGTCCTAATTTTCCTCTTCCTTATGTCAGAACAAGTATTTCTTCATTTGTCAACCGAAAATTTAGTACCTACAATGGGACAGAGATTAAGATATTGAAGTATTATATAAAATATTTACGTGAGATTTTAGATGTAGGTTAAGGATTCCTAATTCCACTTCCAAAATCCAAAATTCTTCACAATTTGAAACTTTAAATGAAGCGTTCCAGTGTTCACATTTTGGGATTAGAAGTACTCAATCAGTAAAATTTATGCAAATATTTCAAAATTCAACAGACTCCAAAATCTGAAACAGTGTGGTCCCAACATTTTGGATACTTAATATTAAAGTTATATTACTTTTCACCTCTCCCGTAAATCTAGATAAAAAAATTGGTGCTGAGAACACTGAAAATGAAACATGTTTAGAGCTATCCATGCTGTAGTTAACAGGGAGGAACACCAAGGCTGTATATGTTGATGTCACTGAGCTAGAGATCAACTTGTTTACATAGTCTGCCTCTGGCAGCCTATGTCCCTGGGACTGATTCTGCTCTAATCTCAAAAACTTTTTTATATAGCTTGCCTTTGGCGCTGCTATATTTTTGGGGTTGGCCTTGCTCTAGCTCCGAAAGTGTGGCCAATCTCCAGCTGAGCCACTACCCACAGTTTGGAATCTATTTGAAGTGATATTTAATATAGGTGCATTATATTAATTTGTTTTCCCAGGAAGGTACATTATATAGAGATTGACCATAATTTCATAAAAGGATATATCCCTCAAAAAAGTGAGCTAACTATTAATGATAAAGAGACTAATAAGACAAAGTACAGCCTTACTCTCTTCTACCTCCAGTAGAGCTGTCAGAGACTCTGCATTAGGCCTTGCAGAAAATCAGTTAATGTCAGTGTTTAAGTTAATCCTCATGTCCTCTTCCTTGAACTATCTATATATGGGCTACTTGGTCATAATTTATTGAAGTACAACACTGTTCAGTATGTGCACTTTTCGCTTTATATACATATCTGATGTTAGAAATAATTTAGCATGCTTTAATGTGTGTACAGAGGGCTCATTTACCTTGATAGCTAAGAGTGCTAATTATTATCTCCATCAAAGAGATTAATCAATCTTGTAAAAAAAGCAAACATACATATATTTTAATACACCTGTGTGATTCTGAGACAAAATGAATTTACTTCCAAATACCAAAGAACAGTAAGGTAGAACATAATCATGGCAGAACACAATTATTCTAAAAATTGATGTGACTGACAGCATGTGGCATATTTTAAAATACATAGACAACATAAAAAATTTTAACCTTTTTATTTGTATTATTCAGGACCTCAGAAGATCTTCTTACTAGCTTATGTGTTTTCTGAGAATGAGGGAGTATTGTAATGGATTTATTTGGATAGTGGTCCATATTTGAGGAAAATTTGAGGATTTTCTTAATATGGCATGAAGAATAATATCAGTACGTGTTGCCACTTTGTTTGCCTTTCTGCTGTTAGAGAAATTTGGTATCTGTAGTCTCTCTTATGCTTCATATCTCTTACTCTCTTATTAAGTCCAACCATATTATTCTATGTACTGTATGTATTTTGTCGTATGTAGTAGAATGTTCTTAAGTGGTATTAAATTTCCACGCTTATGTGCATTGCCAACTTTAGGTAACAGATGACTGCTGGAATTTATACCAAATATATTACTGTGCTTTTATGTGGTTTTATTCATTTATTACAGCTATTTTAGAAGCAATTTGGAAATAATCTTTCAGAATTCCGGTTTCACAGATTTTATTTGTTATCAACATAGTATTATGTATTAATAAACAGATCGCTGATTTGATTTTCTACTTATGGTTTTAACTTTACCAAGCTTCACACAGTTATTAGTATGTTTGTTTCTCAGTGTAGTTTACTTTTATTACACCTAAGCTAGGTTCATACCTGATAAAATGAAAAACTTAGTTATAAAATGACAAGCTTATAAGGAATCTTAAGGGTAAATTAGTTCATAGTTACAGAAGAAGAAACCTTGTGAGATATTGCAGCAGTTTATAAACTGTCTGCATGGTCACTGCAACATCACCGTAAACTACCGTTAACATTTCTTGTGTTTTTTTAACACTTTTTTGCAGTATCATTTTTATTGTTTTTGTGTTGCTTTATTTTTATTATTTTGTCTTTTCTCTTTAAAATAAAAAAAGAAACAAAATGTCAGCGTGTTTGTGATCCATGACTTATAGCATACTTTAAAACATACCTCAGCCATAGCTCACAGTTGACTGACTGCACTGAACAAGTTGAAACCTGTCACATGCTGTACTAAGGTTTGATGTGCTGCTTCTTGTCTTGAAAAATCCCTGCATTTCTCTTGGTGGTACTCTAGCAGTACTGACTGCATTATTGATTGCACTTCATATATACATATATGATAGAGGCTATTGAACACATGGTCAAAGAGATATGCACAAAAATATTCTTTATATCTTTGCAATAAATTAAGCACCAATAAGAATTGATAAGTAAATCACTATATAGTAAAGAATTGGAGGTGGTTAAAGTTAATGGACTATATCTACATGTATCAGTAAATATATCTATAACAGCTATATACTGTTGATCAAAAACAAAAGCAAATTGGATGTGTATAATATGTGTATAATATAGCATTTATATGAAGGATAAACCTATAAAACAAATGATGTAGGATTTATAGGTAACAAATAGTTTTAGAAAGGCTTTATCTGATGTGCAGATACACATGTTATGTATAACAGGGTAGAAAGTTGTGTAAGATTACAACATGTTGTGTTTCTTTTTTTTTTTTTTTTTTGAGTTTGGTTTTTTCCCGGTACTGGAAATCGAACTCATGACCTCATGCTTGCCAGGCAGGCGCTGTGTTTCTGTTTTGTGTGTAGGGTTTTAACCTCTTGTCTAATAGTGTTACCAGCTTCCCAGGGCGCAGTTTGAGGAATCTTGTAAATTTTTAAGTAGAAAGGGCCTGAAAAATCATTTGTAGGGAGATTTCTACTAAACTATTTCTTGATTCATCTACTAAGAATACAGCTATTTACCGAGTGGCTGTTACGTGTTAGGCCATAAAATAAAGGGACCAGATTTCATATTCCTGTTCTAAATAAGTAAGAAAATATTAATTTAGAAAATGTTGTCTTTAAATAAATACACAAGAACATTAACCACTTATTTATAATGAAAAACTCCCGATGAGAATGTTGTTTTTTGCTTTGTTTTTTTTACCCTCTCAGTTGTCAGAAATGTTTGTTAATTCCTGATGGGATCAAGGATGTGGAGAGAGGGACATTCTCTTCAGTAACTGGTACCAGGCAGTGCAGTGTTTCTGAAACACGGCATAACAAAATCTCTTGTCATTAAAAATGCCTGTATGCTTTAGCCCAAAACTCAGACTACAGAAAATTACACGGTTTCTACAGTATGTGTGCAAGGATGATCATTGTGTTCCATTGTGTTCATTGTTTACAATAACAAAGCAAAACAAACAACAGTAACAGGATATGACTTAGATATCTGTCAGTATAGGAGTAATTAAATAAATTGCTATTTTCATGTGATAGACTATTGTGCAGCTGTTAAGCAAATGAGATAGCTTTATGCATAGCAATATGAAAGGGTCTTCTAGATACTGTACGTGGAACAGAAGGCCGCAAACAGTAAAGTATGAATTTTTGTAAAAAATCTGAGGAAAATACATGTGTATTTCTTACCTAACCATATGCATTAGACATGTGTTTAAATGAACTATTACAATTAATTTAACAATGAAGGCCTTCGCAGAAAAAGTGAAGGGAGGATGATTTTCAACTTGTACCTGTTTCTTTTCTATTTTCTAACCCAGTATGTTTTACTAATATTTTCTAAATGTCACTAGAGTTTGTATTAGATGTTCTATCTCCTCACCTTCTGCCATTATTGCTATTTTAATGATAAAGCACCATGAACTGCCACAAGAAAACAAGCAAAACCCAGCAATAGATTGAGTGATTATTTAAAGACAAAACAATTACATTTTCAGTGAGCATAGTCACTGAGAAACACCCTTCAAAATAGGTCATTATTAATAGTTATTTACTGCCTTGTGGTAGTTTAGAACGTGATGTAAAGGTCAGAACAGTAATGGCTAAAGCCAGTTGGTTATTAAATGTGGTAATCATTGACCTTAAAAGGGAGAATTAGTCTTCTGAATGATTTTTCAGAAGTTGTTAATGACTGTATTTGAAGATTAACAGTTACACTGTGATAGTGACAAGCCTGCCAAAAGACATTGGCCCCATTCATATGAAAAGTTATGTTTTTAGTGTATAATTTGCAAGCATTCATCAAAATTTATGCATTCTTTCTAAAAGGAAAAAATTGATTGGTAGCAGTTGCAGTGCCAAGGTTAGCATTAAGGGTGCTGAAACATCTGAATTTCCTGACTTTTAAACGTTTTAAAAATCTTTGAAGAGATTTATATAGGTTCTTAGATATGAAATAGTTTTTTTAAAAATAGTAAGGTCACTCTTTGCCTGCATGCCAAAAATGTGTTTTCTGGATACAGGAAGAGAGTTGTCAGTTCTTCCTATTTTTACAGTGTCTTCCTTCACTCTTGTTTACTTCTTGGTACAGGAAAGACATTTGTTTCTCTGCTGTCATGTGGTGACCCCAGTGCGACTTTTCTTTGTGTTTGTATTTTGTTAACACAAAAACATGTATCATTTCAAGCAGATGTTTTCTAATCGCATGTTCTAGAAAATAGAGGTCAGATATGTCGTATTCTTAGCTCTGTATTTCTCCTCAAGACATTTTACTTGGCACACTGGAATATGAACTAAAGCTGTACAGGGCACATAGCATTTGTGAGTGTGGGAATACAAAACTCCTTTTTCTTTCTGTTATTGTAAGTACATCTTATAAATTTAGAAGTTAATGTCCTTTCAAAGGCTTTAGAACAACAAATTACAGTAACTCAATGATTAGATTTAAAATTTTCCTAATTTATCCTAAAATATACGTGATGCTGTTTATGGTACTAATTAGATATGTT